AAAGTATCGATCTAGCGAATGCCAGCGTCCATCAGCGACTGCCAGTGTACAGCAGCGTCCAGGAGTGGAGAAGGGAAGTAGGAGCGTAGCAGACTACAGGATTAAATAGTGTTGTACTGAAAACTGCGGCGCGTGCAACCTCATCAAGCAATCCATTACCCCGTACATCAAATTGCATGATTCTGTGCTTCAACAGTTGTGCAGTGCGGTAGCACACGCTGCAACTTCACGCCCAAACTCTCCTATTACCCCATACTTACCACTCCTACACGTTGCTGTACACTAGCAAAGGCTGGCGTTCGCTAGAACGATACCTACACTTCCCTAGTCCTTCGAGACGCTGGTGGACGGTAGATTGATCCTTCGAGACGCTGGTGGACGGTAGATTGATTCTATCTTTCCTAGCCAGTGGCGCTAGCATATGCTCGAAACGCTGGTGGTCGCTGGTGGACGCTGACGCAAAGTATGAACGTAGCCTTAAGTGGGGTACACAATAGCGAGAGCTCGACGGCAATCAATGGGAAGTACCTAACCGATCAGCTGTCTATTTTCCAAGCAACTTTCCGACTTGCCTTTGAGCAGAGGCTGTTTCAAATGCTGCTCACAACAAGACCATTTTTTCATATCCCTTGGAGGAGGATGGGAATATGGTAATGAGGTGTAGTGTCGAGTACTCATACGGTACTACGGGTACGGTACACCGGACCATCCTCGTATCGAATTCCATGCAGACCAACCAATACTTCTATACGCAGGGTCGATTTATTGGTACCAGAATCGTGTGCGAAGGCAAAACACATCGGCTGTTTTTTAGCGCCTACGGCGATTTGACCAGTTGTCCTTGAGGGAGTACTGTCCCCAGTTCCGCTCGTGCTATACTTCTAAGGCAGGTGACACGAGCAGTCCATAAGGCGTATAGGATAAATACGCCTAGCAGGACAGAATTCGGTGCCCCTGAGCAGGCACTGCAAGGCGTCTTTTTCAACGAAGGTACCCTTATAGCGCCCTATCAAACTGCAACATGACGACAAGGATGCCTACCCCACCCAGCCATCCACAACTGGCCATAGAATCACGTTGACGCTGGTGCTCGTATCGCTTCATTTATGAAGGGCAATTGTTATGAAGCATTGTTACATGGATGTACGAATAGATACAGGGGGGAGCAATAAAAAAGACACTTTTCTTCCATTGACTTTCGAGGCGCTATAAGTTACACTTTATTGAATTCTGATCGGACATTTTTACCACCATATTAAAGAGCACTATCATGATGCTCCGCCACAGCCTTCTGGACCACCGCCATCGAGAGATTCTGCCACGCAACCATGGTTCGGTGCCTGAGTTCAGCGAGATCGTTGATTTCTCCGCCACTGTAGACCACCCTATTGAACTCCGCCCGAACCAGGTAATTGATGGGTTCAGGTCAGGTGACTCGCTTTGATATTCCATCTTCTTCAGGAACTTAACTCCATTTTAAGTAGGCTCATGTGGTGTCACCAATCCTGTAGCAGTACAGTTTCCAAGAAGGTACGGGCGACGACATGTGGAGAGGATATTCTTCTCGAGTTGCTCGATGTAACCGCCAGCGCTCATTTTGTCCGGGGTCCACGAAGAAAATATCGGTCTTTCCATTCCAGGTACGTTCCGGTCCCATACCATCGGCCCGCGCCTTGGCGACTGTGGTGAAGATGATATACTGACCGTAGCGCCGTTGCGGGAGCTGCTTGATGTTGGAGGTCTTTCAGATGAGAGCACTGGTCTCCAGGTAGCTATCCATGGGTGGCTCCACACTAGAAGTTTCGCAGCTGTTTAGAGGTGACATGAATTCCAAAGGTCTTCTCCAGTCAGGCTGCGACTGGAGATGACTTCATATTTTGGTGTACATGAAGGTGATGGGCGAGCGCCAGCTCCTGCTTATAGAGGAACATCTTGGGTATCTTCCGCCCTGGTACTAATCTCCGCGTCCTTTGAGCTGCGAAAACTTTGCTGATAGCGTCTTTTTTTATTGCCCCGCTGATAGCGTCTTTTCTTTATTGCCCCCCCCCTGTATGTGCAGCGTACCAACAAAAGCGTTGCTGGCGTGATGGCAACGGGAAACTCGTCCGAAATGCTCGTCGAATGCTGTGCAGAAGAAAGGTTTCTTGGGGGTTTTTGGCTGTTTAAGTTCGTTTTCCGTCATTCTTCCCACTTTATAACACCCCTGCTGCTATTTCTGAGCAAGTACCAAATTATCGTGCCTTATGCCTTTGATGTGCAGCACTTGCGTCGATACCAAAATCCCGCAGCGAACACGCAATCAGCGGTAGAGGGCAACCAGAAGTGAGAGAGCGCAGACAAGCAGCGCGTCTGGCTATGGTTGGGCATCTGGCTGGGTCAGGCGGAAGTCGAAAGACGGAACACAGGTAAGGTTACCCTGTAGCCCGTTCTCTTCCACCCTGAGCGGAGAAAGTGGCACGGCTACTGCAGCTGCGGACCAACCAGCTTCGCACATGGCAAAGACGGGACCCACGGGACCAATATTCACGGAAATAAGTGTACAGCTTTTTTTAAAGGTCTCACCGGGTTGAGGAAAGTTAACAAGCTTGGAACAAGCAGATGGACTCCCTCATCCCTATACGAACAATGTGAGGGGGTCGAGACTCACTGCAACCCTCTGAGCAGGACTCACCAGCATCCCAAACATGCATATGAGAATTACAGAAACGATACATTTATGCAAACAAGAAAATGTGTTCCAGATATGTTAAGAACCTTTTCAGCCGTAATCTTTCCACTGATACCAGTTTCGAATAGAAGGTAGGTAGCGAATTTGTTTCTTTGGCTGTTTGCTGTTTCTTTCGAGAAATCTTCGCGCGTTTGAAAGCGTTTCGGAACCTTTCCTTGTATTCCTAACTTCTGATCAATTTCAGAAAACGTCAGCAAAATAACAGCAATAAATAAAGTCACAATACTACAGAAATTACACCTTAGCAGCGTAGAACCCAAACTCACAATAAATGAAAACGAACAGAAACCACATAAACAAAATGGGATCTAATTCTACACGTCGACGACTTCGCTTCAACTTACATGATCGCCCAATCATCTCCTCTCTTTATCTTGCCAAAGTCTACCATATCCTCCTCTATCCGCATCGTACTGCTCGCGATACTCGTCTCGTACCTAAGATCCACAAATAAGATCTTCAACCAAGCAAGATCGTGTACCATAAAGCGCTAGCACCTGTCCTCCGTGCTTCCCTCGTCCATACTGACGCCCTTCAACGAACCCAGCATCATAGTCAACCCGGATGAGTCTGCCATCTAACATTGTGCGGTTCAGGCATCTTACAGCATTTTCCGTGTCTGCCCGTGTATAATAACTGAAACAAATACCATTCAATTTCTTCCTCAGAAGCAGCGTCGCGATTGTCCAACATGCAGAGACTTACTAGGGATCGTCGGAACGAAGTGACTATTTGCAATAGAATAGATCAGTGACGGTTTTTTGACGCTTGATATAAACGATGCTTCGAAATTGGCCGAACGATTTCCAAACGAATTCTGGAGCGTCTCGCCTCCACACTTTACCAGGGTGCAACTGGTCATGAGAATGGATGCTTGCTAGGCTTGTTTTTGTCGTCCTTAGCAGGCATGGCAAACATGTGTGTAGCGTCAATACCTACATCAAATGCTGTCTAACAAGGGAATCCGCGCATACTTACTTTGAATGAGACTGTAAGATCGATAGAGTGGTGAGGGTTTTTATACAAAGTATAATAGCAAAAGAGCTGCAACTTGCATGAAATTGCAACGCAACTCGCAATTTCACCACAACATATGAGCGGTAGTTTGTTGTAATAGGTCAGTAAGAGGAGAACGTGCTTGGTGCTGACTGTGAAGCATAAACGAGGAATCGAAACACGTCGAATCGAGTCGTGGTGGTTCAGTGGTAAGGTTCGACGTTCGACGACTCGATTCGACGTATGCGATTCCTCGCTTATGCTTCACAGCTCACCACCAAGCCTCCACCCTACTGCACCATTACAAACTTTACCTGCTCATAAGTTGCTTGTGAAATGCAGGTTGCAGTTTTGCTATCTATATTTGTAAATAACCTTATAGACTCTATCGATCTACCCAGGTCTCCATTCAAAGTTCCATGGTAAGTTGGCGGGCTTGCCTGAAAGGAGTTTGCATCCAGTTATTACTGCGCTTGGGCGGCTTGGGATCTAGAAAGTGGGAAGGGTGCATAAGTGCTCTGGCGCACGATGCAGTTTTCGTGCTAAACGGGGTCATATTCGCGTTACGGTCAGAGTAGGTCTAGGTACAAGTTTCTACCAAATCTAGCCTGTGAAGCAAGATGCCTCTGAAGCAAGACTGTTATCACGATACGATGCTGCCGTTGCCATAGGATGCGCTTCGCGGTTATTCATGCAAAGTGACTGGCAATCGTGTCTGGCTCCGTGCCCCTATACTCAAAGAGACAACTCAACATCACTCCGTTTAGGGAATCATTCTCCAAATTTCAGAGGCAGATTTGAGATCATTGTCCAAAAACACGTCCGGTGATCTCACTATAAATAAGCACTTCGACCTGGCGACCTTCCGTAGTTAGATAAAATAGACAAATCTCAGAGGACATGCCATTTTCGCATCTCAAAATTGCTTGACATCAGCGGCAGGGCTCTAACGCGCCTTTATCGTCTCCGTCCATTATAGTATCATTCCACCATAGCTGTATAGCTGTGGGATGGGATCTGAGATTTGTGCACTTTCCTCAACACTTCTAGTTTCTCTTTTCTAAGCTCACTATATCTCACCGTAAACAAGGCGTGGAGACGGAATGATGTAATGATGGGCTGAGACGATGAAGCGTGGCAGAGCCCTGAGGGAGGCGCTCGAATGGCGTAGGTGTCAACTGCCATATTGTAGTGGGATGCTGCTGACCGTAGTTACCAACTCCATCCCACCCCTGCAGCCCATCTTTTGCAGCGAACAGCTCGTCCGGCTCGCTTATCATCCTGGTTCACATGACTGATCAACCCGCACTGCCAACACGACAGCATAGACACCGAACGACGTGCCGCTGACTTGATAAATGGCAAGAATTTCGTCCGTTTCTGAACTAATTTTCGAATTTGCTCGCCCATGCCCTGTTGTTCGAGCGAAATAGCTGAACCAGTTATCTTGCGAGGACGACTGTGAATTTACTGCAAGCTGCGTTGAAGTAATAGGTTTTAATAGAACCTAAAAACAGTCAGGATGGAACCGTTTCTAATCAGCCAAGCAGCATTGGGAAGAAGTGTAAGGTTGAAGGAAGTCGAAATTAAGCTATAGAAAAGGAGTCAAGTTATCAGTACGTTCATGTTGGCATCCTGTCAATGTAAATCGATCAACAAAGATGACGAGCGACCTGGACGAATTGTAAGATGCAAAAGATGGGCTACAGAGGCGACGTTTAAGGTGGCAATCACTGTCGCCTAGCAGCCCTACCGCTAGTTTCGAGCAATTTCGAGCCGTGAAAGTGCGACATTCTCCGCGGTTGCAAACGAGCTACCCGGTCCAAATGAGGGTTTCTGGAACTATATCAACACTTACATTACAAAACAAAAACCGCACGGAGATTTCTTGAAGCGATCGAGACCAACTATTACCCGTTTGACCTCTCCAGCGCGGCCGAACAATTCATACAACTGAAATAGAATCAGGAAATATGCGACTAACAACACATATGAAAGGACGAATGTGATGATGAATACCTGATCTTCACTTGTATAAAACGACAAGTTTCCTATATAAAGCGTCGTCGATGTTCGCAGTGCCAAAGTCTGTTCCTTCAATGTTCCCTAGAATAAAAAGAGATGAAAAATGAATGGAATAAGACTCCAATAGATAGAAAGCATATTCAGCTGTAGCGCATACTACAAGGCTCTGAGTGCGTACAAAATACGCGACCACTCCCTAATGCTGACTCCAGCGTTCAAGTCACGGACAGAGAGCGAAACACTCAACTGTATGAGGTCATAATCGCTGAAGAACATCATGAGGAGAAATGGACGCAAGCGAAAGCAAAACGTTGATGACTTAGGGAGGGGGAGAGGGGGAGAGGGTCGCTACTATAGTTGAGGAGAGCGGACCACGCGACGGGGTTGTAAAGTGATCTCCATTCAAGTACTTAGAAGGAGCAAAGAAGAGTAAGCGTGGCCTCATCCCAGTGCATAGAGAAGTGGACCTTGCGTTGCCGCAGCGTAGCTCCCTCCAACTGCAGTGGCGCTAGAGACCAATTTCAAGCAGTCTATGAGGCGGCTATGTGACTGCTGGAGGTTCTTTTCAATGTATTAGGTAAGAAAAGGGAACAGAAAGAAAAGGACAACA